AATTCTCATTTAAAATTCGCGCGCTGTATATTTTTCGATATTTTAAGTTTATGTAGTTTGGCAGCACTGTCCTTAATTACTATGCCAAAAATGAGCTCGATCTGTCAGACAGTTCGTTTACGGCAGCTGTTGAAACCAGTTCACCTCAGTAGTGCGTTGCGAAATGTCTTCGACGGTCGTACGACCGTCCTGGAAGGCTTTGTACCACTCATAAACTTGAGTTTTCGATAAAACTGATTCCCCATAAGCCTTTTGTAGCATTCGCAACGATTCTGCACACGAAATTTCGTTCGAAACACAAAATTTGATGCAAACTCTTTGTTCAATATTTTTTTCCATTGTTTTTTTCGCAACGCCCTACTGAGGTGAACTGGTTTCAACAGCTGCCGTAAACGAACTGTCTGACAGATCGCGCTCATTTTTGGCATAGTAATTAAGGACAGTGCTGCCAAACTACATAAACTTAAAATATCGGAAAATATACAGCGCGCGAATTTTAAATGAGAATTTCCGAAAGCTTTTCGGTCACAATGTATACTATTAAATTATTAATGAAATTTTAACTTTATATTTATTCTTATTTTTATCTAATATTCTATTGGTGTAATATGAAAATTGTTGTATTGTCATCCTTTGGTTTGCTTTTTCAAAAGTTTTTAATAATACATTTCAAAATAAATAGAACATTTATATTAATATAACTCGAAAATAAAACTAAACACAGTTTAAAAAGTGTAATTTTTTATTTTATGTAAAAAACATTTTTATAACAAATATAAAAACTAATTCCTCGAAATTGCTAAAAAACTAACCTGAATACCGGCAAAAAATAATACACATAGAAATAACATATTATATATGATTGCATATTAAATTATAAATTCTCATTTCTATAACAGCTGTTATCCTCGTGTTTATAGAATAAACAAATTACAATGAATATTGTATTAGTAAACAAAACAAAATAATGTCAAAGCTCCTTTTTTCTTTGTTAAAATTTAACCCGTATAATTTAAACCAATTGACATTAATAATGTCTGACCCATATCCGCATTTTTATCAGTCTCATCAAATGATTATCTTTAATTTAATCACACAACCGCTACTGTCACTCGCCATTGAGTAATTTTTTACAATGAATGAACTTAATAAGTATCTATAAAGTTGCTTCATTAAATTTGTTAATGAAATTTGCTGCTATTTTTGTACTTTAACGTTTAATAATTGAAAAATTAGCTGAGAAGAAATTAGCTAACAATTTATCAATGTCATACAGGATATTTCCTAGCGCTACTCGTATAGAATGTATACACTCTTCCATTTCGGTAGAGTGTACAAATATTTTCAATAATTAAGCAATTCACTTAAATAATATGAAACGTAACCAAACCAACAACAGAATAACAGAATACGTACTTATATTTAATGGAGAAGTGCGACAATTTTCAATAATGGATGAAAATTTTTAGCTTATTTAAGTTGTCATTTTCATTGAAGTACGAAAATTTCAGCGAAAATCCAAAAGGACTACGACAACGTTTAACAGAATCCGTAAGAAAGTACTCCACTTCACTTTACTTATTTTACTCTACTTTATTTTTCAATTGAGGATATTAAACCGCGCCACCGACCGTCTGACTGAATGCCATTGAAACCGACAAAACAACCAAACGACAAAATAACAAAACGAGCACTTTAACGACAAAACGCTACCAACCGAATTTGAACGAGTAGCGAAAACACAGCGAGCAGGACTAGCACGAAAGCCAAAAATTCGTTCAACTCACAAACGAAACCTTAGTTTTCGATTTTCATTTCCCGCACACGATTTTCCCATTTAATCGTAAATTATTTAGTTTAATGTTTTCATTTCTGGAACTGTTTTGCGTCTTCCACTTTTAATAATTTCCACAATTTCTAAATTATTCACATTTAAATTTTTGTTTATAAGTTTAATTCGTATTTCAGTAAAACGCAGTAAAACACTTTAAGGCGAAGCTACTGAACTTGTTTTTCGATGTAATGCCTGCCCCAACATTAAGGCAGGATTTTTCGAATTCGATTCCAGCGTTTACACGTCCGCACGAGTTAACGTTACAATTTGAACTGATTTTTCTATTTCACCTTTCGTAATATTTTGTGTGGCTCAGCGTACGACAAAGACTGCGTCTCGTGTTTGTGTGTAGTTTTTGCTTTTCGTTACATTTTTTTCGTGCCGACGAAGTGTGCATGTCCTTCGGCTATAAAGGATGTGGTTTAAGCATAAGTTTGTTGTGTACTACCAGTGTGAGCTTTTGGGACACGTTTGAGTGCAAACTAAGGCTCTCCCATAGTCAATGAGTCGAATTCACAAACACAAAACATAGAAACGAGTGAGTAAAGTTCAATTTAGTATAAAATGTGTTTGGTTCCATGAAAATAACCAAAGACAGATAAGGCAGTTCAACAGCAAATAAGAAAATTCATAGCAAATATATAGAATATATAGAATTTCATTTATTTAAAATGTTAATTTTTTCTAGTCGAGAGTAACGCGTCTTCATTATGAAAAGAAATTATTTAAAAGCTAGATGCATTCGAATAGCGTAGAGAAGACAAGAACAAAAATTTCATCATCAATGGGCTTAGGAAATATTCGAGCTCTTAGCCTGGCACTTGCAGTCAAAACAAATTATATACGGACTATAAACTAATTAAGAAATTCGAATATTTCCTAAGACCACAAATGATGAGAACTTGGCAATACTCGAAACAGCGTTATATGGTCAACCAAATTTCAATAAATTAAATAAAATTTTTGTTCTTGTCTTATCTTTGGTATTCGAATTCGTTTTCATTTATTTATATTAAATTATTAACAAAATTAGTATATTTATCTTTAAACGACCATAAACAAATATTAAAGACAGTATAGTCTTTATAATGTCAGGGAAGTTACCTTTTTCGAGAGTCACTGCATTCAACAGAAATTATTAAAAGACATAGTAAATGTACCATTTTTAATTGTATTAGATGACGTCCTAACTAAAGCCATAGACTAGTCACAATGGAGTATACGCTGGGGGCTCTCAAATCAC